AGGACAGATGAGACCTCAGTGATGCTGATAAAAATCTTTTGCATGGGAAAGGTTTAAAGAGAAATGAAGCTTGCTAAGCTTTTACTGTCTGTATCTGTATACACAAAATGCTCCCTACTCTAGTTTAGCATTTCTACTGTCACTATTGAAAATGGTATTATAGCTTAAGGTTATGTTCAGATTTCCATTATAACCCCCAGTTTTCACATGCTCTTAACTTTCTGAAAAATTCTTCTTTTCAGCTGAAATTTTCCATGCTTGGTCTCAGCTCAAAGATGAATTTCTTTAGACAGTTGAGCAAAATCCGTTAACCTATTTTCAGTTATACAAGGATAGAAAAAATACACTGTACATTTTAACCATTTCTAATATTTTAGTATAGATATAGATATATAAATATATGAACTAAAAAACAATTGAATTTTACATGCAGACTTTTTTCCAGGTGAGTAGTCCTCACCCAAGACTAATATCCATGATAACACATAAAAGAAATTAAGCATAAAAAAGAAACAATGGAGTTGTATTGGTTTTATACTGAGCGGTAAAACAAGGCCACTAAAAATAATACCGCGCACAGAATTATGTAATGCTATGGTTACAGAATTTTAATATTTGCAGGTGACGTAGACTCTGCACTGCTGTTCCAATGCAGATTTCCATCAACTTATGCACCTTGAAATTGCCACTCTCAGCATATCAAATTAAAGGTCATTAATGTTTTCAGCTTTTCTTTTCTCTTACATAAACCCTGAAGTTACAAATTTAAACAATCCAGAGTAAGATAGCATCAATTACATTTGCCACAGAAAGCTTAAGTGATGTGCATTGATCAGCGGGAGCCTGGCTACTCATTCCTTGATCAGGCAAAAAGTCCATTGACTGAAAAAGGAGTAAAGCAAGCTCCATAGAGCTTATGTTATTGACTATATGATTAAAAATACACCTTAGTATGGAATGCGTTTAATGTGTCATTCAAGCCCCAAATCCTTAATTTCTGCCATCGGAGCACAGAAATAAAAGGACAGTGTTAAAATATATTTAGCTTTCCGGAATTTACTAGAACTGTGCACATTTCCAAAATTTATAAATTATCATCTTGATTCAGAAAAGTGCTTAGAGTGTGCTTACGGCTGTCTTTCTTGAAGACAACATCTGAAGTCGTTTGGACTTTAAGGATCTGCTTCAGTCCCACCACTTTAAATGAAAAATAAGCACATGCCTAAATGCTATTTGATCAGGAATGAAGACTGAAGGTTTTGCTCAAAACCCATACTGATACATATTTTTAAACCTGTGTTATTTGTCACCGCTGTACTTCAAATCTGATTAAATGAAGTTGCTATCATTTAAAACTGGGATAACCATGGTAAATTGGCCCTAATTTCTTTTATTATTTAATCTATTGTTAATCTAATGACACTGAGTAGGAGTTTTTTGTCTGTTTATTTGCTTTTTATAAGAGGCCTTTCACACAGAAGAATACAACATGTCGTCTTCTACTGTATTTCTATGTAGCTGTTTGGTGTAGTGACTTACTAATTTGAAGTGCATTTTAAAGTTCAATCAAATACTGAAAAGAACACTGATTGAGAAGCCTGCATAGATTTCAGTATTCTTTATGAGTCATAACACTGATTTTGGAAGCTTAGCTATATAAGCTGGTGGTGTGCAACATCCTTTCCATACTCCTAATTATGTGAATTAGCATTTATAACAATCCCAAGTTCAAGTATTCAAAAATGCTCTTTTCAGAGCATCCACCAGGTTTACTGCAAGATAGGCACTTGAAGAAGGCTTTGGTTTTTATACTGGGTACTTCTGAAACATCAGCCTGTGCAATTCAAAGTGACACGTGAAGATTTAACCACAGAACTTCCACTAAATTTACTGACGATTGCACAGAAATTGCCCAGCAAAAAAATACTAAGAAATTTGTACTGAACAATCTATTTTTGAACATTAAAACCTTTCTGACTTAGGACTCAGTTCTAACAGATTTCTAGGGCCAAGCTCCCATTAAGAGTAATGGGATTTTGCTTGAATGAAGTCCAAGTGTGGACTTCAGTCTCAGCTCTCTATTAATATTAATGTATCTCCAAGATACATTGCATGCGTATTTACCTTGGACTGAAAGAAACTGTAAGTAAAAATGGAGGATGCTGATATTTCTTAGGTATATACTAATCCTATATTTCTTATTTCCCTATCTTAACATACTCCAACACAATTAC